CCCCCCCCCCCCCCCCCCCCCTCCTCCTCCTCTACCATCCATCTCTCCGCCTCAGCACCTAAGCTCTGTCTCTTCTCTTTCATTTCGTATCTATTAGTTTGTACTTTTCATTGATGCTCTGCCCTCTTTCAATTCCTTTCCCTCGCCTTTGCCTCTGATCTTTGTTTCTTTTGCGTCCCTCTTCCTGATGAGAAGACTTCGATATGCAAACTTACCTCTCATCCATTTAATCTCTGTGTTTCTTAGCAACCTAAAGAAGGCAAAGCCTCGGAACCTGTGTGGGGTAGTTAAATCAAACATAGCAACCTCATCTCAACGTCACCACAAAGAAGGTGAAAACAATTTGAGGGAGGGACGGTCGTTACGTGTTATTAATTTGACGAATTCAGTTTTGAGGGAACGAGAGGCTAAAAGCTGTCAAAACGGAGAGATAGCAGGTTATTAAAAATAATGACAAGACATCTAAACATCTAAATACCTTTTCATTACGCACACTGATTTTGACCTGTCAGGTATTTTGGGAATTATAGTCGGTGGATTTAACTGTTTATTCAGCACCGCCTGTCGTCCCGCCAGGATATGCTCGACCGTAAACAGACCTGACAATGAGTTTAAGGCTGTCACGTCACAGTCTGTCGCCTACAGGTTCAACTGTGTGTGTGTGTGTGTGTGTGTGTGTGTGTGTGTGTGTGTGTGTGTGTGTGTGTGTGTGTGTGTGTGTCTCTGTGTCTGTCTGAACACTGTGTACAGTGCTGATCAGCTGAGGTCCCTCCAAGTGTTTGCTCAGGTAATACTGTTATCTGGGCTTCTCTCTCTGCTTCCCTGTAGAATGAATCAAACGGGCCTTTTTCTCTCACGATCTTGTAAGATACAGTTAATAAATCTTCCTCGGCTGCGTCACACTCTCAGCGAGGTAGTTTTCAGTGACATGGCTCCAGCTGTCAGGCATTGTGTGTCTTAATGCTCGGATTACGCTGAGGAAAACGTAGGCATTGTCTCTGCTGTAATGCATTGTGTTCACTCACAATGAGGCACTTGTATCGCGTAGGCAGAGCTGTTGTTCTGAAAGTCCCGTACAGGTAGAACTCTTCTTCCTCCTGCTGAGAATGAGTGAGGAAAAGTAGACACCTGATTACCCAGGAGCAGTCTGGGAGGGGAACTGACTGCTGCTGCTGAAGTGAGCAGTGTGGATTGTGTTTCGCAGCAGCTGAGAGGAATCTTAATGACGGCTTACTTGGTAACCATGCAGTCTTCAGTGTGGAAGGGAAGTGGTCAAGGAAGCAGGAAGTCTGAGTTGAGCGACTGTAGACCAATGGGCAGAAAAAGTGGCTCGCTATCAAGTTTCTATTGCTTTTAATTGCTGTAAACACTCCACCCCAGCTGATAGATAAATATGCTCAACGTTAGTTGCATCAGATATTTTAATTAGACATTAAACTAAAGCTTTGCTGTCATTTTTCATGCGGTCACATCAGTTGTTTTGTGGAGATCTTTTTTAGGTTGACATGCCCCTGTGACTGTTGACTGTGGTGTCATGTTTACTTAAGCTAAGTGGAGTCCTGATAGATCGTATGTTTAGAACTTGCATAACTCTCTGGCATCTCAGGACTGCAGCGAGTGACCACATGACATGACATGACATGAGTGTGTGTGTGTGCGCTGTACAGCGTGTGTCTTTGCTGAGTGTTTGTATGAGTGAACCTCATTACTGTCTTGTCCTGTCGAAACAGATGCATCCCAATATAGCCTGGAAAACTGGACGGGGTTCATGCTCACAAAGCAATAAAACCTCAAACCACAGAAACCCACATGAAGCAGAAGTGGATCTCTGATGTTGTGTTGGGCCTCTTTTCATTATCGTCTCCTTCCTAAGCAGTGCTGTGTGGGATAAGCATAATCCTGTGGCTTGTATTGTCCATGGTGGGGTTGTCGTTTCATCTCTGGTCAGAGCTAGATATAAATTTTGTTTGTGATGCTGAAAACACCAAATTTCAAAGATTTTGTATCTAAGCTAACAGCAGAGCTCTTATGTATGGAAATGGTGCAACAAATAAATATCTTCCTCTCGCGCCACCATGAGGTTGATATTTGTGGTTTTGAGTGCAAACTATTGGATGCATTGTCATATAAAGACATTAATGTTCACTGATGTTTGTCCGGTTATGTATTTGTCCTTTTTTGGTCTGGCAAGGTTTGTTTTTATTTATTCAGGTCTCTCTTTCAAAAAAGATCTTACAATTTAATATAAACATTATATTAGCATGTGATAGGACAGAAACCTTCAAACTTTGGGGCTTTTCTGCTTGATAAGACTTACGCAATTGATCATCCAAATTGTTGCCGATTAATTTTCTGTTAATTGACAATGAACTAAACATTTCAGCACCGACAATGAAAGGAAAAGTCAGTGGATAAACGGTAATGACAGAAATGCCGACCCTAAAGCATCACTGCTGTCAAAAAGCAGCTATGAGAAAAGATCTTGCTTTTCCCAGTGTGTGTGTGTGTGTGTGTGTGTGTGTGTGTGTGTGTGTGTGTGTGTGTGTGTGTATTGTTATTTCTGACTAAAAGCAATGAACTTTGAGGTCATGAAAGTGATTTTGTGTGCAGCTGCAGTGCAATGGAGTTTAATGGAATTATTTTTTCTTGCAGTCTAAAAAAAGAATCTGGGATTTGAAGCGAGTCCCTCGGAATCAAAGAGCGAGGCCTCCTTAGCGCTTTGCACTGACGTTCAGCAATCGTACAGAGAGAAATCCATCACAGGCGACGAATAGATTTCTGTTTCTCCCTTTATTCTCATGCTGTCAGGTTTGATTGAGAAAAAAAAAAAACCTCACTCATGTGCTTTTAAAATGCCCTCACTCTGATGGCAAGACCTTTATGCAAATTCTTCTAAAGGCATTCAGGTGTTGGTGGATTTTTTTTAAATGGTTGTTTTTGTTTAAATTATCACATACAAATCCAGATGACAATATAATCAGTTTGTGTTTAGGTGTGCTGCATAATATAGAAATCACTCCAGTGTTGCTGCAGATGATAAATGAGTCAACTCCTGGAGTGTTTGAGAAAAGATGATTGTGAACAGCGGAAGCTTTTGAAAAGCAGCGGTGGACAGTGTGTGTGCTGAGATACTCCCGTGTGTGTGTGTAGCCATATGAATGAGAATCGGGCTGCTACGTCCAATAATCACACCATGGATATGATCCCGATATTATCAGTGAAGCACAACAACAAAAGAAAAACTTGCTTATGTCTGTTGGTTTTTGCTCCCTCTGACTTTCAGTGTGTCGTCTCTTTATGTATTTTTTTTTTTTTTTTAAAGGACACTAGAGCTGTTTTGATGAATGGATGTAGCAGAAGCAGTCGTAGTGTTACAAAAGTCATGTTCATTAACAATCAATCCTCCTCTTCCTCTTCCTCTCTCAGGTCTGCAGGGCTGCAGACGTTTCCATTCCTCTGCAGCGAGCACCATGTTGCTGGAGGCTGACAGTGAGCGTCTCTTCGTCGGGGCCCGCGGGGCTGTTTTTGCTCTTAATGCCTCTGACATTTCAGCCAGCTCTGCTCTCACTGTGAGTTTGTTTTCTGTGTCGCTTCATGTTTAGCACCTCTGCTGCCATATCCTTAACTCTGCCACAACTTCATTTGCATTCCACAACACAGGAACTTTTTTTTGAGGCAACATTATTTTGTTTTGAGGCGAAAACTATTTATTCCCATGTCACCCCTTGTGTGTTTGTTTATTGTGTGTAGTTGTGTTACTTTTAGCACGATAACTCACAGTTTCACCGCAGGAGCACATTGCTGCATAAACTTACATATTAATGAGAAAAAAACAGAAAACTAACTACTGTATCTTCTCACTCTAAATAGATACAGAATTCATGTTCATCTCATCCACACATTGGAGCATGTCGACACAGAAACTGTTTCTAATTTATGCAGTAATTAGCATACTATCTATCTACCTCAATCTAGTGTTGCCAGTTTTAACTTAAAACCCCACAGACCCCACAAAGAGTTGAAGAGGTTCATTCTGACGCTGATTAATATTCCAGGTTGGTGATTATATTAGGACATTTGGCCCATTAAAGTTATAATCCTCACAATTCTCTTCATGTCAAACCCAATTTTTGACACTATTTATGGCTGGAATTTATAAGAGATTCTGCCATTGCTGCCATTAAATGACTCTACACTCATTAGTTACCTCTCTATGTAATATTTACATATCTGGTCTCAAATGACTTGAACAAGTTATTCACAATGCATCCATGTGCAATAAAGTAATGACATAATCCAGAATAGCACAACAGATGGTATTTGAAGATGATTTTTTTTTTTTTTTTTTTTTTTTTAAAGAAACCATCAAACACCATTAAAATGTCAGCTGCTGTGATTGAGTCTAGTTCTCAGACGATGACATGCTGCAGGATAACGTCTTCAAAGTTGACCGTCGCTTTAAACACCCAGGGAAGCTGAAAATCCTTTCACTTTCACGCTGCGGTGTTTGTTACCTGGTGACAACCTGACGTTAAGCTGTAATGCTAATTATGTTAATACAGCGTTGCTGTCTATCATGAGGTATAATTACTGATGTGCGTGCGTAACATTCCCTCGCAGCCACTCCTGCGTCTCCTGCTATAAATGCACCTGTTCCAACTGTCTTTGTGTCAGAGGAGTTTTAAAAGATACAATGCTGTTCAACAACGCAATGACTTCAGATGCTGTGAGCTCAAAATTCCTGATCTATGAAATATTAAAGCAATAAAAGACATCACTCTTGATTATCTGCTGTCGGATCTGTTGCATTTTACTAAAATGTATGGAAGTCAGTGATGTGAATCCATCCAATTTGTTGTGTGCTCTTCCTGTCTCACTGTATCATATGTGGTGTGTGTATTAGATCGAATGGGAAGCCTCCCCCGAGCAAAAACGTCAGTGTCTGCTCAAGGGAAAAGACAATAAGGTAGGCATTTAGTTCTTCTTCGTCCTTTCATTTCATCTTTTCGTAATGGGTTCTCTCCTATGTATTGATAATCGTTTCCTCACCATAGCATCTTTCTCATCCTCTTCCAGACGGAGTGTTTCAATCACATCCGCTTCCTCCAGAGATTCAACTCGACTCATCTCTACATGTGTGGGACTCATGCCTTCAGACCACTCTGTGCATACATAGTATGTCAATTACAGACCTTTCAGTGCTGTTGAATCCCTTTTGATATGTAATTTCTTACCTCTCTGTGATTCCTCATGTATGGCTTTAAGGTGGGACTCAATGTCCTCCTCTTAACCCAAATGTTAAATCCTGTATAGAATGAGGAGAAGTTTGTGATGTCGTCTCAGCCTGAAGAGGGCAGAGACAAATGTCCCTACGGCCCGACGACGGGCTTCACTGCCCTCATCATCGGTAAGCCCTTCAACAGTTGTCAGTCACCTCCAGAGTTTTACCAAAAGATTGTAGAATCTGATCCATTGGTTTTCCTCCAGACCAGCAGATGTATACAGCTTCCCAGTACGAGTTTAGGAGCTTTCCAGATATCCGCCGCAACTCTCCGTCCCCCACACTGAAGACAGAAGATGCCCCTACACGCTGGCTGAACGGTGAGTTCATCTCCTGGAATAATAAAAGCCCTTCAGCATTTTTAGGTGGAACTAAGATAGTGAACATGATAAACATTATACCTGTGGGCATGCTGGCATTGGTGTTTTTCTTCAAGTACAACTGTGCCTAAGCACAGCCTCACAAAGCCACTAGAATGACTTTGGACTCTTATGTTTGTTTATATATTCCTCCTGAAACCTGGTTTGGGGTTTAAATGACTCAAATCGTTGTGTTTTGCAGATAAAATCTTCTCCTTTTATTGTTTTCACCATCTGTTCAAACTGTGTTAGTGCTTGGATTACCATTCATTTTCTCTTGTCTTATAAGTAGCCATCTCCTCTGTTAAAGATGTTTACTGTTTTGGTGAGACACCTCAGGTTAGACAAGTAGAATATTACGTTAATTATTTTGTTTGAGAAAACTACTAAACCTAGTTTTAGGGTATCAAAGGCAGCTGCTTTGTTAATTCCTAAATCAAAAAGGAAAAAAACCAACACAGCATTAGCCAGTGCATCTTTGCCTCCCCCATACAGAGGCAAACTTTGTGGGCTCGGCGCTCGTGAGGGAGAGTTTGGGCAGCAGCACCGGCGATGATGATAAGATCTACTACTTCTTCACCGAGAAAAGCCAGGAGCAGACGACAACCTACAGCCACAGCAGGGTGGCACGCGTGGCTCGCATTTGTAAGGTGAGTGTAGATTCAAAAAGGATGCAGGATGTGATTCACAACTGGGAGAGAAGTATTGCATCAGACTAGCTTGAGTGAAGTCTTTGATGATGATAGAAGGGGTTGCTATAATAGATGAGGGGCTGGATGGAGAACGCATTTGTAGCATGGCCCTATTGAGATTAGAGGAGCAGAGTTTGTAGCTGAGGAATGGGCTGCAGCGTCACTGTGGCTCTGGGTGCGAGGGATGGGTGACAGCAGGGGAGAGACGGACTGTTTAGCATCCTCTGCTGCCTGAAATGTGAATGATTTACATCTCCTGCTGCCCACGATGGAGTTAAGAATAATGAGAGCTCACTGTACAGCCTAATAACCTTGTTCTCTCCTGTGGCACCTTAAAATCAAATCGGCTCACAAGTTCTCTCCTTGAAGTTGTGGCAGCATATTTGTTTATTCATCTTAATAGAAATGCCCTGCGGGGGCATGTGTGACATTTGCAATTTGCCACAGGCTGAATACATTTAAAAGTTTTGATCAAAGAGTGATGTCATTTGCTGGATTTCCAAAAGAATCATGGCCTTGAGTCAAGCTTTTCCAGTAAGTACGTGTCAAGAATCTTTCACTCTTTAGGTGTGCTGCAGTCTGCTGCGGGACAAAAAATACACACTTTTACACAAACCTGTAGATTACAGTGGGGAGTCTCACAATACCTATGGGAAGCCATAATCTTGTTTTGTTATTGCTTTCCAATGCCATCTGTTGCACTCTTTAGGGGGCTCAGTTCCCCTTGTGTGCCACCTTGAGTCGATTGAGTCCGTTTTTCATTTATCCAGGCCTTACCTCATATGACCCTCGTCTCCCCTCTCTCCTCCTGTTTCTCCTTTTTCTCCCTCACCCTTCTTCCCTCAGGGAGACCGGGGAGGCCGTCTAACTCTCCAGAAACGGTGGACGTCCTTCCTCAAGGCCAGGCTGACATGTTCTCTGCCCGAGTACGACTTCCACTTCAACATGCTGCGCAGCATGTTTGTCATGCCCGGCCTCACGCCGCAGGACACGCTCTTCTACGGCATCTTCGGCCTGGAGTGGTGAGTGGGAACGTGTGTCGAGATCTCCGGCCGACGGGGACTTTGAGGATGCAAATGTAAAAGAGTGAGATAAAGATGAAAGGCAGCAATCGATACATTGAGAAAGTCGAAGGAGACGGTCGAGGACTAGATGAAAGAGAGGGGAACTTTTTCATTCAAACGATGTGAAAAAACCGCAGTTTGAGGAGAGAATATTAATTAGAAAGCAGATTTAGATAGACTAAGAAGTTAAAATAACCACTGATGAAAATAATACTGAAAAGGACTGTTTTGCATTTATATATGGAAGATTTCCTGTGGCTGCTTCACAATAAATGCCACTCTATGGTTTTTTTTTTTCCAGTTAAACGCATCTAATGTGAAACGGTGGAAATAGAAAAAGTGTGTTTTTCTTTAGCAGTAACTTAAACGGCTCTGACACGTGAAAAGAGAGATTCCAAAGACCTACTATACAGAGAGATAATTACTGAATGTGTCACATGGCTGTTGCAGAAAAAAATGTAGTTTGTTTTCAGGAACATCTTTAAGCTTATAAATGCAGTGGCCCTTCGTAGAAACTAGTTTTCACTTTTCAATGTGGTGCATTCACTGCAGGGATGTATCAGCTGAGAAGTGAATGTTATGCCAAAGCAAAAGGCTTTGTGGTACAGAGAGCATAAACAAACATTGATTATCTTCAGTGTTTCTGTTGTTTTGAGCTCTAACTCCTACTCCACCTCTCTGAAATCATTTTGTATTCCTCTCCCCCTTCCCTCCTACGTTTTTCTGAGAGATGTATGACTTCTATGAATCCTCCTACTATCTCTGTCATCCCATCCCCCCTCCGCTGTGCATCTTTCTAGGTGCGCCACTGATCTACTGTACTTCAACTGCTGTCCCTATGGCAACACTGGGTTTGCAGCTGTTATTGTGTGGCCTGTGCTCTGGTCTTTTTCTCACTCCGTCTGTGTTGCTCTCTGTAGGAAAAACGTCAAGGCGTCTGCAGTGTGTCGATTCTCTCTGTCTGAAGTCCAAGAGGCCTTTCAAGGACCGTACATGGAGAACCAGGACTCTAAGTGGAAGGAATACACTGGAAAGATCCCTGACCCACGACCTGGAACGGTAAACACACACGTGCAGAAAGACGCACACACTGCCTCCCTCTTAGCCCCTTCAACTTAAGATGAAGAACAGGAGAAAAGTCCCCCTCCCATACGCCAACGGAGAGCAGATGAAGCTGATCCAAAGTAAAGATTAGGAAGAAAAGATGCGGGAAGATGATAGAAAGGATGAGGCTCAAAACACAACCAGCTTATGTCACTGAAACCCATTTCCATGCCGATTAACTCCAGCCCGTAGCTTTTTGGCGACAATGGCTTAGTCAGTCAGGGCCGTGGCATCGTTAGCACAAGCAGACATTATCCACTGTAGTGTCATTTCAACACTTTGTGGGACTTAATTCTAACGTTGCTATTAAACGGAATGGAACGGTCAAGGGCTTTAACTTGGGACCGTGAAAGCCTCTTAGAGGAGTTGGCTGAAGCTAAGATGTTCCCTTAGTCAGGTGCTCAGAGAGCTGAGTCGCCCGCATGTCAGCTCAAGCCGGCTGCTGAACTCGCAGTGTCTCATTGTTGTCCATGTGAAAAGTATCATTTCTCCCCCCCCCCCCCCCCGACAGAATCTTACACAGGCTCGCATTTTCTTCTCGATCCTTTAAATTTTCCCCCGCAGACCATCTCGCTAAGCCTCGTGACATCCTCTCTGCCGTCCACCATCCGTCTCTGTTTACAGAGAACTTTATTACAAGTGGGCCAAAAATGTCTCTTCTCCCCGCAGCCCACATCCTGCCTCGTGACTTGCTTCTCATCGCTCTCTTTGGCTTCTTTTCCTGCAGTGTATCACTGACGCTCTGAGGGCCAGGGGCATCAACGTCTCCACCTCCCTGCCTGATGATGTGCTGAACTTTGTCCGGAGGCATCCTCTGATGTCCCGGCAGGTCCAACCTTCAGACAGACGACCACTTATGTTCAGGCGGACCACAGACTACACACACATGGCCGTAAACATGATCCAAGGCTTAGATGGACGAACATACCATGTATTGTACATGGGCACAGGTGTTTATGAATTCATGTCGGGTATAATTGTGTGATAATAGTTAGACATTTCGGAAATGTCGAGAGTTAAATGAGAAGATTGATTCCACTCTGTCTGTTCACTAAATGTAAAGCTACAATTAGCTTAGCTTAGCATAACTACTGGAAACGGTAAAGGCAAAGGTAGCAAAATCTGCCAAAATCCATTGTTTTTATGGGGGATTATGTCCTGGACTATTTTTTGTTGAGTCACCGTGGCCAGGCTAGCTGTGTCGATTACTAGCTGCATATACCTATGATGTATTTAAGTGTTTTTCATTCATTTCACTATGATTTGAGAATATGAAACCAGGAACAGAAACACTGTTAAAAATGGTAACCCATTATTTTGTCAGTTAATCTTTTGGTCAAATTTACAATATTGTGCCATGATTATTAGGTTGTTGTGTTCTTTAGAGTCAACATGTTCTTAGGCCACTTATTCTGCAAAGTATCTTTCTTGTGGAAATCCAAAGTATCCAGAAGTCCACGAGGCAGGGAAAGTGTTGGAACAAGGGTTCATTCAAAGATATACAGTACATCATTTAATGTTCCATTGCTACTTACGTAAACAATATACAGAACACAAATATGTGCTCAAGTGGCTCATACAGCAACGCATTAAGTTTACAGAGAATTAAACCCACAAGATAAAAACTGTGAAAGAAACCATGTGAACAGAACAATTCAATTTCGTTTGTTTCTTGCATTAAAAACATTGTGTTTTGCGTGAGAACTCCACATCTTCGATGTCTGAACCTTCTCGAAAACGCCAACCATGGCTGCATTTCCACTCAACAATGTTGTAACTATGATAAGAAACAGGCAAATACATGGATTGCCTATCTAAAGTGTTAGTTTCAAGTGTTTGCAATTTAATTTATATATAGATCAATCCAAAACACAGTGATTTGTTTTGGAAACTGGTTGACAGAAATGCATGTTAACTGTGTTTGTAGTACTGGCTACTGCTGGTTGGTTTGGTATTTATAATTCTCATGTTTCTCCTCTTTGTGTGTCGCTCAGATGAAGGCTGGTTACATAAAGCTGTAGAAATCGAGGGTCAGCTTCACATTATCGAGGAGCTTCAACTGTTTGAGAAACCACAGCCTGTTAACAGCCTGCTGCTGTCAGCAAAACAGGTATTGTGTTTGACCATCACATGCGCACACACACACACACACACACACTTAATGATTAATCTCTCTGTCCTACAGTGTTTAACTCATCTCTCTCGCCACCAGATGAGTGTATACGTGGGCTCTCTATCAGGAGTGGTGCAGCTTCCCCTCTCTAGCTGTCACAGATACACCTCCTGCTACGACTGCGTCTTTGCCAGAGACCCTCACTGTGCCTGGAACGGAGCCCAGTGTGTGGACATAATGGCTCAAGCAGACAGGTGGGTGCTGAAGCCTGTGTCTGTGCGTGTGTTTGTGTGTGATTGGATCGGATGATTAAAGTGCTGCAGGTGCCCTTTTGTGTGTTTGATTTAACTAACCTTAAGTATCACAGTGCCCTGTCACAGTGTCAGCTCCCAGAACTGTTGCGTAATCACATCTCTGGCAGAACCTTGATGCTGGCTGGGATAGTGAACAGAGCATGCAGCTGTGTACTCGAAGTGTACTGATTTAAACCTGGACAGATTTGCTTACTCAGTAGAAAGCTGTTATGGAGGCGATAAATGATATGAGACAGACTATAGCACAAAATACAAATAGGAGAAAATGGAGAGCTCAATATACTTACCAACAATATTCAATAGTTTTTATGTTACAGCAAGTGCGTGTTTAATATTTGCACGGATATATACTTATTGTTATGTTTTCTCCTTCATTACAGATCCACTTTAATCCAGGATATCCAGCAGGGCAGCAGAGGATGTGAAAACACACAAGACGGTATGCAGAAATCTCCTCTGCAGCTAGGTGCTGCTGCTTAAAGTTTGCTTTAACCACAGTTAACGATGAAAGGGAGATTAAAAATAGAAAATGTTAGGAAGGACTCAAAAGATGCTTAGTTGTCATCAGATGGCATGAAGGCCTCTTTGAAAGTTGATTATGCACACTGCGTTGGCAATATCCTCTTTTCCCTTCTTTAATCACATTTTTGCCATCTCTGGAGAGAATTCTGTTTGATATTCAAGGCAGGCAAATGCCTTCTCTCACTTCACAATTTCAATCTGATAAAATGTAGCATCGACTGCCCCTCCGTCGTTCTGTTCTCTGTGCGAGGTAAAGCGATGGCAGGAATTAAAAGATATGGAATTGGAGTTTATGCCTCAATAAGTTTGGACAGTCTATGATCAGTAAAGTAGGTGTTTAGTAATTACCATATGAAATGAGTCAGAGGCTATGTTGTGAGTTGTCCTGTAAATGTAATGTGAAATTAGACTCTGTTATTCATATCTGTGTTGCAGACGTAGTCGTGCGGAGCCGCTCTGTGCGGGTGGGCGATGACGTGCTGCTGCAGTGCGAGCTCAGCTCAAACTTGGCGACGCCCCTCTGGACTCTGGATGGCGGCGAGCTGCAGGGCTACGGCCTCAACTCTGGCTTCAGAACTGGCACAGACGGCCTGCTGATCATCGAGGCCCGGCAGGACCAGAGCGGGCTGTACACCTGCTTCGCTGTCGAGAACGGCATCAATGTCGCCATAGTTGCCTTCAATGTCACCATCCGCCTGGACCTGCCCCCTCCCCCACCTGTCGAGCCAACCGAAGACCCTTACCGTTTCTTTGCCACCCTGCTAGCCCCCACTCAGCATCCCTCCTCCGAGAGGCCACCGCCCCCGGCTCCTCTCCTCCCCCACTCAGAGCTGCTCTCCCCCAGGAACATGGAGGCCGTATATCTGTCCCTCATCACCATCCTCGGAGGCCTGTGTGTAGTCCTCACCGTGGTGCTCGTCTACGTGGGCTTCTGCCTGCGAGTGGGCAACAGAGGGAAATACTCATTACGAGCCGCCGCTTCAGCCTACCCGAACAGTAAGAGGCACCACAGGAATAGAAAACAGCACAGGAACTCCTCCCACATGGAGCTGAAGACCATCTCAAGCCACTGTAACGGAAACGGCATATGTAATGGATTTTCAAAGCAGCACAACGGCAACATCCAGGATGGAGGCTGCCTCCAGATTGTCCCCGGAGAGGCTCACTCATCACCCAATAAGGAGTCGCCTCCCCCGGCCCCTCCTCTCCCACCAACTCCGCAACATCCCTCTCCAGAGTGCGACTTCCCCAGCGGGCTGTCGGCCACGCTGCCCAGCGTCCTGCGGAGGATGAACGGCAACAGCTACGTGCTGCTGAGGCAGAGCGAGTCTGAAAGCACGTCACCGCTCTGCTACTCCTTCTCCGAGGAGCTCAACAGGATCTTAGAGAAGAGGAAACGCACTCAGCTGCTGCCCAGGCCGGACGAGAGCTCCGTGTAGAGAGGTGTGGCTCCCCCTGTGGTGGGAGGGCAGCTGTGTTTTTTTTACCTGGTGCTGAAGTGCCTGTCATGTGACCCATTGTTGAGGACTAAAGCAATGAGTCTTAACTACATTCTTTACTTTGGATTTTTTTTTTTTTTTTTTTTACGAGTCCACATTGAGACATTCCTTCTTTTTTTAACTTGTGAGCTGCTTGTTAACCTTAATTCCCAAATTTCCCAATACACAACAAGTGAGAATGACAAATGCCAGCGAAGGATCGAGCATGAAATGACAAGACAGTGCAATCTACCTCACCTTCCTACTGCCCAAGAGAAGACTTCTGCAGTCTGATCCGAGCATCAAGGCACAGAACGGGACTCAGACTCCAGCGAGAAGCGAGGCCCCGTGGGAATATAAATACATGTGAAGACTTCTGCTGTGTGGCGGCCATATTTGGCTCGATTCAAACGGGAGGGCAGCTAGCCAAAGTTTGTTTGCACTGACAAGTGCACAGATGGCCTATGCATTTTTAAACATGTCATTCACATATTATAAATATTGAGGGAGGTGGTCGTGGTGAGTGAGGGGAATTTGGTGTGAAATATTTTCACTTTTAATACTGATTTAATCAATTGCAATATTATAATAATCATAACACATTATATCCAGTAACTAATGGCAGCACATAATGATTTACACCAGCCATCATTAATAAATGGTGAACTAATCATTATTTAATATTACTAATAACCCTAAATCGGAGTTAAGTAATTAACTACATTGAAGATACATTTTACATTGTTTTAAATGAATCATTATTGATATCATTTAGTTTATTTGTAGATGAATTGATGAAAATATTGATAAAATTAAATCAATAACTTTTACTGACACAATTACCTGATATACAGGTAAACCTTTAATAATTGTAAGAGTATTTTCAAACGCAAATGAGCATAACTGTATTTTGCAGCTGCAGCCGAGGCTCACAACTTATCATAAATGGTTAAATATTGCCTTCAGGTGAAGCCTCATGTTGGCCTTTTAATTATAAAGTCCCAACTCATGTCTGCAGTTCCTACAAACGGGTAACAAGTAGCCACATAAACATAAATTTACATTAACATTGTTTGAGTCCATTTTATATACAAGTCATTCGATAGTAAAGAATAAACAAGGAAATAATGTTTAATCTTTACAAAATTGAAGAAATATTGAATAGTGATTATTTCACCAAATGTTAGACTACCTGAATATGACAGTATTATTGATTTTGATGCACTTTAAATAGTTTTAAAACACAAGGTAATGGATGCTATTATGGACGTTGATTCTGCAACCTGTCGAGAACCAGCAGGATGGAGGAGCGTTTTGATTGGCCGTTTCTCAGTATGAAGAGCTGCCGCAGGGAAGGCCACAGCTTTGTCTGCTGCACCTCGTTCGACCCGAGAGAAACTGACCGTGTCTCCGCTGAGCCTCGATCCGCTGCTGAGCAACGCCCGACATGAGCCTATAGTGCAGAAAGACATGCTGTGGGGCACAGCGTTCACCAAAAGTATCACAGGTAAATCATTGTTCTATCTTACCAACACATCTCCTACACAGGCACGTTGCCAAACAAGCACTTGCAGGAATAGATCACGGAGATAAGAGTGTGTGGTCACTTCATCAGTGTTGTAAATAATGGATTCATGCAGAACACTGAGAGCACAGTGTTATCTCACAATTTACTGGATTTATCTGAATGCTAACAGCTTGTGGATCCGACTGCTGGGCTGTTTACAATTTGGGGAGAAGTTCAGGTTCACAGATGCCCGAATGAAAACATCTGCTACAGTCTGATTCACAGATGTACTGTATCACATTAACACCCTGATTTCTAGAGGAGTTCCAGTTTCATTCTTGGCATTTCTTTTGCCGTTAACAAAAAGGAAGCTAATATTTTGTTCTTTTCACTTGCGTCACAACTTTATCTTCAGGCTAATCACTATCATTCAGTATCGCACTGTTTATTTCCCTTATCGGTGTCTTCTTGCTGCATCTCACTGTCAGAGGGCAGCATTAATTAAACACTTGTCTGACCTTATTGCTGAAGGCGGGAGAGAAGAGACGGGAGTGAGTTAGACATCTTCCTTGGAGATTTACACCCTCAAGCTCCCAATTATTTGCTCATAGCCTCTGGGTCAGACTGGGGTTTTGTGCTTTGTTGCTGTATATCAAAATAGAAACGCGAAAGCATCTCAAGTGTATACCGTATGTATGCTGCATGTAGCACTTCATACGCCACCATAGACGATGCTGAAGCACACTTGTGTCACTGCACTGTGGGGTCAGGGTGTGAGATACTGTACCTTCTGCGGTGGTCCGCAGTAAGCTAAGCTTTTCTTGATCACAGACATGAGAGGAGAAGCACACTTCACACTTTAAAAGCCTTCATTAAAGAAAGCCCTCTGACCTCAATTCGGAGCACAAGAAGACATTTCGAAGACTGGGTGAACACATCGAATTTGGTTTTCATTCCATACTTGTGTAAAAACACTTAAAATCAGTGTTGCTAATGTATAAATATGTTGAGCTGTGTTTGAAAAAGCCCAGGCAATGCGGTCATTTCTGATGTTGTACTTGCTTTTAAAGTAACAGACGACAGAGACGCATTGTTGGCGCTGGCCTGAATATCTTTTCCCTCTTTCTCGTTGCAGGTGTCATGTGCACAGGTCAGTTTGAGTTTCTCTTGATTTCATTCCCGGCGATACCATCTCTCCACCAGAGTCCGATGGCAGGACCCGCTTTAAAGATGTTCTTTAAATGAGCAGTGAAGTAATGTTCAGCTTCATTACTGGACAGCGGAGCCAGAAGAGAAAGAGAAGCCGGATAAGAGCAACAGCATTAGAGTGCAACTACAGTTCTGCTTCACCACAACTGGAATGAAAACGGTTGGCTTCAGTGTCCTACTGAGCAACTTGTGTTCTTTCGGTCAGTTTGATGCAAACGTGTTGGATCAAACTCGAGGTATGATAGCCTTTTTTTCACACTTGCTGCATGAATTATGTTTTCGACACTGCTTTTTTTTTTTTTTTTTTTTTTTTTTTTTTTTTCTTAAAGTCAAGGAACAACAACTCTTATTAATGTAAAGTGCCACAGTTGATGTTTAAAAAGAGCTCTGTGAGCCTATTTTAAGGCAGAAGAAATGGATTTTAAAAAAAGTGTATTTATTTTGTAATTTTGTACATTGTTGCTGTTAAGCTGCCACTTGTGGACACCTTCCTGACCAATAGGAGGGTCACAAGTTGCCTGTGTTAAAACAAAATGTGATGAATAGAAGCACGGTAGTCAAAAGCATGCAGAGGCTGTACCAGCACCACAGAATTTAATATTTATAACCTACTAATGGGAGGAAAACACACCTATTTACTTATTCACTCTAACCTATTAATTATGGATCATTTAGCTTTTCTCCCACTGTAATGTTCACATATTAGTTTTTATCGCTGTCAGCATCATACCTCATGCTTGTGCACACAGCAAATTATTTTACTAAACTAAACGCAGAGAATAAATGGGCAGTATGTTCCTTCACATTTCAGTCATGAGTTCAAATAAAGCTTTGTACTTCAACCTCTTCCTCTCCTCGTCATTGCTTGTGTATGTTTACAGTTTGCCTTCTCACATTTAGAGGAGGCTGAGCGAATTGAACGAGCAGATAAATGTTGTCAGACTCTCAGGTCTGGGGCTGTAAATAAACACGACACAGACTGGTACGGAAAAATGTTGCTGGGAGGTTGATGTTCCAGGACTAGTTCAGATCCAGCTCGAACGTCTAAGGACATTGTTGTTGACAAAACCTAAACGTACAATACATGTCCTGTGGAGGCATTACAGGAGAAAATGTTACCTCAGCTTTTATAAAGAGCAGCCGATCCTATTTTTAATCTGAACTGTTTGAACTGATCTTTCAGAAATGCCACAGTCCATGTTTACCACTGATTTTTCCATCATCCATATGACCTTTTCTCATGTTGCTGTGTGAGCCGGCAACACCCAGCTTTCACACAATAACTTAACGTTTGTAATAGATTACTGGCAGCACGACAAAACACCCATAAATAGGACAGCCGTGTCATGCACACACAGCAGCCAAAGGGCCAATTGTAACAATGCCAGGTGCCTGCAGATCAGACAGCTTGACATGCGATTAACAAACTGTCATGGTTGGTGTATTGTTTACATTAACGCTGCCTCGGTTTTAATCCGGGTCAACATCGAGAGCCTGCTCTGCCTCTCGAGTGGCAGAGTGGAATATTTTAATTTAATTTACTGAAAATGTGTTGATTTAATAAAATGCTGCTGCTTTGATTAGATGTGTGCTGATCAACGACACGTTTTACACAAGAACTGACTCGATAAAAGTTGTGAAAGTGCAGGTGTTGATAAATCTGACAATGTCTCAACATCGACATGAGACATTAGCATACAATTGTGTGAAGACATTCATGTTTCTCCAAAGGGTGCATCATAATAACGTTTGTCTTCATTTATGGCCATAGACTTTCTAAAACTAATCAACATCCCATTAGCTGTACAATCGTGCTAGTTAAATAGTCAAATATGAACATACTTATACAGTTAAGATGCTGCTTAACATTACCATTGATTCGAATCAGCATTTTAGCAGTGTCATTGTGACATGTTCATGGTGGCATTAGCATTTAGCTTCATTTATAGCCTCACTCTAGTTCTCTGGATACTTTGACCTTTTTTGGTCTTCTGAAAATGATTGAAATCAAACCAACTTTATTGTCACTATCCTTGCAAACAATAAAACATAGTCCTGCCATTTCAAGATAGTAATACAAAAACACTGTATACACTATAAACATACTGTACAACATATATAGTCTTTTTTTCATTGAGGCAAAGTCATTGAAGTATTGAACACTTTTAATCTTATTGGTGAGAAATGTGCTGTTTTGTTGTTGAGACACACTGACAGAGATGTATCTCCCTGTGCTATTTGTAAAGCACCCCGTCTCTTATAAATAACCCGTCTACTTCATCTGAGATTAAAACATCGTTTCTATCCCTGGACTAGATCTACATCTCGGGGAAAAAAAAAGTGATTTCAACAGATCTTTTTTCTTTCTTTTGAATTCAAGCTGTAAATGAATATCATCCCGGGAGACACAAGATGAAAATGACAGATGATAGTGAAAAATAAGATTTTAGCTTGCAGACTTATATCAAGGTAACCTTCAGTGAGAAAGTGTAGGAATCAAATCATATCATTCCCACTCTTGTTCTTCCCTTTTCTGCTGCTGGCTCAATCGTCTCAGCTCTTCTTTGTCTTGTTTCTTTGTGGTTCTAGATTCTCATTTAGATGTCAACAGAGGTGCATTTGTGTTTGTTGGAGAAAACAACTAGATTAAAAGGACCCACCCATAAAAGCGTGTGTGTCCTCATATGTATTAGACACAGACACACAAGTGGAAAGTGTCATATGGAACAAATCAGAAAGCAAAGTCAGTGTGACTCATTAAGATTGGCGAAAAGACAAATAGCTTTGACATGACGATCTACCCATTGTTGCGCAAAACTACTGAATGCAATCACAGCTTTGTGATGAGGATACAACATAAAGAAATGAGAAATACTGAGCTGGATTTAATGTTAGATGTTTGATTTCTAAAGGTTAATTCCTCCCCCCCCCCCTTTTTCTTCTCCCCATCACCACATTAAAAGACATTCCCCATTCGTTGCCAGATTCTTTGCTCCCCATGTGTTGGAAATGTCACACAGACATGGTTGCATGGTTTTGGAGTTTTGACAGCCAGGATGAACTAAGAGGATCCTGAGCCACAGTAAAGTACAGTACAACTAATGCTGCTGGGACAAGCGTGACACAGAGTCCTCTTTAAGTCCTTCCCTGTAGTCTCACAGCAACAACAACATAAAATGGATAAACAAGTAAAAGAAAACCAAGTGTTCCATTCAGTCTGTATATTAAATGGAAACACTGATGGTGTTCAGAGTCCACTGTTATTTCTGTGTGCAGTCATTGTACAGTTGCATAAACAGGCTCCCAATAGTGTCAGTTGCTGTTTGGTTTAGTGGACGTCACCGTTGTGGTCTATTGAGCTGACAAATGGGGAAGTGTGTCACGCTGCACATTTTGTTCCCCCCAAAAACAAACAGAGTGTTGCTGTTTCAAGCTAACAAGCAGCTCCTCTGCCTCCTCCCAGACCGGTTTGACGCCAGAAAAGCCATGCGTCTCTGCTGTCACACACCGCACACTCCCATATCAATCAGCCCTTTATCTGCTTCCTCAACTCCGCCCGACCGGCTTGCTGTCTGTCACACGTTGCTTCAGACAAGACACATGCCTGTCAAATGCAGACAGCCTGGCATCTGCAGAAAAACCAGATGAACCTGCGCAGAATTTCAAGTTTTGTCCTTGGAAACCCCCCCACGACAAACTAGGTCCATTATTGGTGATTAAGATGATTCCTGAATTGCCAAAATTGTCTTTTAAAACACATTGGTTGTGTTGTAATGTAAGCTTAATAAACCACTCCAGGCTTTTGTTGCAGTGGCCTAAACAGCAGCCAATTTCCTCTGAGTTAGTTTCTGACAGAATCCAACAAAAATCAATACGAAGGCAGCTTTCTTTCCAAAACAAGCGCATTAATAGATGCCCTGTAGTTTTGTGATCACGCAGTAGGAGTGGAGGAAATAACGGGAGAAATAAATTAGAGTTGTAGCCATAGGGCACAGACACACCCGGGTGACACGTCACCTGGATGATCAGCTTGACAGCAGACACATTCTCAACCACACACACCTGAGTGTCTCAAGATTTTCTGATACTTCCACTCCAGATAGATGTTTTGATAGCAGCTCACTGCAGTTTCACTAGAACCATTGTCAGCAATAACACAGATACTGACTCTAACATGTGATGTTGTTCCTCTCCTCTCTGCATTACACAACAGTTAAATAGATTTAGACAAACACAGAGTGCTGCTCAGGTGTTGTCTACCTATGCAGATGTAGATGTGACAGTTGACACAAATATCCTGGAGGGGCAGAGACAAATGTCTGATCTTCGGACCTTTGGACTCTTTAAATATTGACAGTGTGAACACAGTTCAGCGCACACATCCTGCTCAGCTTTGATGTTTGGAATTGGCCAGACAGAAGAGAGCACTCACTTTAAACTGGGGCCCAGTAAACTGTGCTGCATGTCATGGTTCTATGTTCTGTGTGTGTGTGTGTGTGTGTGTGTGTGTGTGTGTGTGTGTGTGTGTTGCTGGACACATGTCATTCTCTCACCTGTGGCGCCACCTAGTGATCCTGTCTTTACAGTAATATCAAATGTACTTCTGCTGTTTACCACTGGAGGTCATAGACAGTCTGCTTATGGAAAATCCTCCAGTATGAATTCTCAAATCGCCTGCAAATAAACTGGGATATGTGCTGAAGTTTCAGTGTAACTCCATACATATTAAGTTTCCTGCCCCAACACATTTAATCATATTTTCCTGGAGGCAGTACACACACACCACATTGTTTGAAATCAAACAGCTGATATAGTCCAAAGGAGACAAAACAATCTGAGATGTAAGTAATCTAATTGTGTTTCATGTAGTATGTATTAGTATTAACTTGTTTCTCGTCCAGTGGCCACTGAGCTTCCCCTGCCTGCCTGGCTGGATGACATCTGGACTGAAGGAGCAGGATTACCTCGCTCCATAAGTTTGATGGCACAGACCCAGGTCAAACGGCCTCAATGACTATATAAAATAAAATATTGATGAGTAGAAAGGTAAAAGTTTGTGTTTCTGCAATTCAGATTGTGGCAGATGAGCCTGCGTTGATTTTCTCTAATTGTGAAACTCTCTTGTTGACTTGTCCTTAAAGACAAACACAACTCCATCTGGCAAAATAAAACAAGCCTGCAGGCGGACATATGAGTAGGGGACTGACCTCGACCAAGAAAACCTGGCATCAATTCTTCATGATGAATGTGTCACCGGACAACAGTGAGGCTGAACTACCGCCAGCTCCAGAGGCGCTGGTCCATAACTGACCCTGACCTCTGACCTAGCTGTGCAAAAAGACATATACAATATGATTCTGCTACAACTACAACTGTCAAACAAATGTTTCCCTCTGAAATTGAAGTAGAAGTATAAAACTCAATAAAAGAAGGAGAAAGTGAAATTCCTCCTCACAAAAGCTACAAAGTCTTTCTTTAACCATGTGTGGTGGCCATCGAGGCCCAGTCAGCATACAGGGAACAGAGAACAATGAAGAGTACACCCTTTACTGCGAGAACAGGAGGCTGTTAGTCAGGAAACAGTGTTGCAGATGAATTCATTTGCAATAAACGTCCACCTTATTTGCAGCCACGGGACTCAGTGACGTTCACCCGTGCTGCTAACCGGAGGAGAAGTTAGATTGGTGGCCTCTTAACTGACCGGAAAGCACGTACCCTCCATGCATAAATCTAATCTCACAAGCAGAATATCAAATCAATCTCAAATTGGTGTGAGCGTGGCACAAATGAATAAGACCAGTTATACACACACACACACACACATTGAATCTGTCATGGGGTCCCAG